TCGTTAATAATGCGATACACGCGAGCACACTTGTCCGCTATTAAGATCGCGTTACTCGCTGACAGCGATTTTCACGATCTTTGATTATAAAAGACGCGCGAGTTGTAAACAGTGATTACGACGGCTGAAGAAGAAGTAGATAATAAGAATCGCAGGGTAAGTGTTATGTAGACAACTCAACTCACTGATATGACAATGAATTGTTTTCATCCAATCACTTTGAAACTTCTTATGTGATACTTGGGGCCCGAGTTCCCCTTTGCTTTCAGGCTCGTCTTCGTATTATGAAGCTTCAAATCTTGAAAAGATGATTCAAAGGATAGTTTCGAAAACTTTGAGATGTGAACAGTCGTAAAGCTTGCTGGCGACCTTGATACAGATTCTGTACGCATTTTATGGCGCTGCGTTTCTGGCACGTAAGTCAGCGATTGAATGTCCAAACGATACGAAGGTCTGTACGCTGATATCTATTCGCGCGTATGCAGGTTGTATTGTACACGGTGCTCAAACAAAGTATACTATATCTGTCAGAATCTACTTTTGAGCAACGAATGCCAGGCAATAAGGTACTTTATTGCAAAAACTTTGTTCATGTACGCGTTAGTATGAAAAAATGTCGAGGATATAAATATTGTTAATGTAAACAGTAATTCCGTTAGTATAAATTGGAGATAGTTTCTACGTCCAAATACTCAAGTATCTTGTATACTCGACTAGTTTGCGAAATAATTGAATATGCAGGAAATATCCTAAAAATTTGGATATTTTACCTGATCCAAACTAAGTACTCAGGGGAAACCCTTGAAAAATGCAAGTAGTACTCGCGGGGCGCTGGCCCGCCACTATTCAGGCAGTAGCCGAACTGTACTCGAGTTGGCAATATCCAAATCTTGACGCCATTAATAAATAGCTTTTTTTCTCGTGCAAATAGCGTCAGAATAAATTCTGTATACATAAATACTGTCAACATAAATATCGTCGCCATTCAAAGCGGTTGCCGTAGCTGTAAATAAGAAGAGTCAAAGTTTTATCTGGTGCTCCGTTAAAATTTTCTCACAGGAAGGTTTAACTTCAAATTATGCGCAGAAAAAGAGAGACACGAGACGACGCTCGCGCTCGCCGGCGAGATTACGTCTGTGTTTGGGGACACCCTGTATCGAGCGCTACGGCCTAACTACATTTTTGCCGGCAACCCGTTTTCTGCGCGCGTTCAGGGATTAAGCGGCCCGGCCTTGCCCGGCGACCGATGCCGTAAATTATTATTTCCACGATAAAGGCCGTCGGGCAGCGCTGCTGAGTGGAATTCCCCGACTACACCGTAATTAATGCATCTGGCGATAACCGCGGCGCAGATCTAATCGGGCAGATTCGCCGATTGTGGCGCGGCGCGTGAAATAAATGTGCGCGCGTGCTTTGAGAAATGCATCGGCGACACAGGCGATCCGCGGACGAGAGACGGACGCATAGGCGTAAGGATGATAAGTGCGTTATCACGCTATCGATATTTATGTCATTCAGCTTCGGCTTACGTGTCCGTTATTTTTACTGGACGACTCGAGAGCGTCGGCGTCAACTGTGTTACGTGAACATGAGACGCAACAATTCCGCGCGCGGAAACAGCCGCTTCTTCGGCGGGGTAGGCATGTCCTGTCGTCCTGTCGTCGTGAAAGTAAAGGAATTATTCAACGATGAATCGAAACTACTAATTATATTTTAACTACAAATATTACACATGAAACGTTACGCCGGGACGAGCCGTAAGCATCGGAAGCAAGAAGAGCCAGCTATGAAAAGTCTTCCCTCTCGCGTAGCGCGCGTCCTCCTCGGCGCAGACACTCGCTTCCGGAATAGCGAGAGAGAAAAGACCGGCGTCTCTCGCGCTGCGCGAGTATGGTCAAGGGAAAGAACGAAAGAGAAAGAGGAGAAAAAGAAAAGGCGAGTCCACGTGGTCCGAGTGTGCGAACGCGCGGCAAGCGGTCCTCCGCGCTCGCGCGAGTTCCATAAAGGATTTCCGCCGCTCTTTTCTCTCTTGGAAGAGGAGGGCGACTATAGCGCGTTTAGAGCGCGCTCTCGCGCATTGTATAATAATGTATCGCATATGGCGCATCTTGTAAAACTCTGCGGGCGTTCCCCCGCCTTGTCCCGCCCGAGGATGAAGACCTGAATGTGGTCGTACCCGGGGCTGGTTCATTCATCCGGCCCGGCGGACTTTAGAGGTGACGAAAGGTCCCGAAAAACCGCCTCCAGGTCGCTTTCGGCGGGGGGCAAACTCTGTAGATTTTAGCCGGCTTCGTTCTAATCGCCGGCTACGTTTACCTGCGACGTTTGCTTGCTTGGTCGGCCGTTCGGTCGGTTGCAGAGGTATGGGGTGTGGTGTGTTTCGACGAAAAGTAAATAGGGAGAAGAATGTTTTATGGGATTGAGGTTAACACGGTTGGCTTGTGAGAGCTTTATTTTGCGTTATATGTTGCCGTGCCACAATGTCTCGTGCTGTTTCACGCTACGTTAAGTTTTCGTATTACGGCGACCCCTGCGTGAACGTAAATTATTATTCTTCCGGAAAACACATTGACTCCGACTCACTTGCTGAAAGTAGATTAGTGGCGGTAGATCAGCAAAGCCAAATTTGCATAACGATAAATCCCCATTTCAAATCTGCGGCGTGAGCCGAAAGAGTAACGCGTAATCTCCAAGAAGTCCAATGTTTGAACCGTTCGATAATTTATGGTTATCCGTATATTTTTGCATTTTATTCCTCTCCGATCTCTTGGGTGATTTCTTGCTTGATTTCCTTGTTTGTTGACTTGAATGTCTGTCACGTTCTTGTTTAATTATAGTGAGTAAGAGTTGTCTTCCAAGTTACATTTTCTATGTATTGTTCGCTTTCAATGTTCGCCGACCGTCGCTATTCATTCGGCCCGTGCATCTCGCTCGATTGCACCAACAAGGTACGACAGATCCGATTAGGCGAAAATATGCGGTCTCACACCGCCGGAGACAAACCAGCGTCAGTCGCGATCATCGCCCCGTCGGCACCAAGCTGGTCAATAGGATTAAAGACGATGACAATGTGTCCCGAGTCAAGAGACCCTTGAAAGAGCGAAGGACTTGGTGCGGTTGATCCCGCAGATTAGGTCTTACGAAGGACCCATTGAATATTTTGATGATTCCTTACGCCTTACCAAAAATTGCTACTATAAAGGAATGTACTCTTCCCTCGTGACAAGGACGTTGCGATATTTTAGATCGGTCTCTTTCTCGAGATTTAAATAGCTCGTTCCACTTTTGCGCATTCCTTCACAATTTGTTGAAGATTTCACTATTTTTTGCAGAATCTATCTAGGGTTGGTCGCTTTTAGAAAACAGCGGTTAATATCACACATCAATGTAATCACAAACAATGGTCTTTGACTCACAATGTGACGTCGAGTGTAAATTACTGCGTCCTAAAAGTCGTTTTGCTTACGCGTATTTATTCTACATTTCCTCGTTTTCTAATCGTGTCACATCACGGATGTCATTTCGTGTATTCACATCCTCCCTTTGTTTCCATTTCTATTTCATTCTTGTTGATATCTTTGATCTATGGAAACTTCGCTTGCGACATTGAGAACGTATTTCGAACGAATCCTTCATTCATTGGTGGAATCTTGAGGAATCTGCAGATGCGTATCAAAGACGCGAGAGATTCAAAACTTTAGAATCCCAGAGAATACATTTACGCCCGAATGTAGGAATAAGTAAGATGTGACCCCGATATAAATTAGAAATGCTTAAATAGATGCATACAATAAAGCAGAAACGGAAAGGAAAAGTCCAATGTTGGGTATTGAGCAAATCCATGGACTTGGGTATTCGAGTACTCGGTTGTTTCGTGTAATAACCGAGATGGGGATCCAAGTACAGAAATTGTTGCTGGTTTGTATCGATAGCGCTGAATAGAATATTCGACACGCGCGGAAATTTAAGAATCCCACACTAAGGCTCAAGGACGGCGCGAGATTTGGTCTTTCATGGGAACGAGTGTGGGTATCGCGCGTTTATTTCGCCATCACCAAAATATCCATTTCCGATGCCGACTAGCAGCGCTGACCGGGTACGTCGTAAAGGACCACGTATGCACACGCTTCGGTAGGACCGGCTCCGGGATCGGCGTTATAAGATCGGCCACGTCTCTATCTAGGTTCTTTAGTAGGGGCGCGCGGGGAGGTAATATATTTGGAAGGCGAAGAGCGAGATAGGTGGTTAGGTAGGTAGCCGCGGCGTGGTTGTCGGGCAGATAGTCGACCGGCCCCGGTAATGGAGACTGCAGGGTGCCGCTAATGCAGTAGCGATGTCACGGCGCCCGGTGCATCGGTATATTCCTTCTTCCCTTTCTGCCCTTTTGCTCCTCCGCGTGCGCGCTCGCGCGCGCGGCTACCATACCGTATCCTCTCCGGCCTTCACGATATCAGTCGACGTATATGTCCCCCTTCTCCTCTTTTTCTTTCTTTTCGCTTCTTTCTCATCTTGGCCGTCGTTCCCGATGTGGTTTCTCTCTTTAACAGAACTCCATTGAGGACGCTCTCTGATATCGAGGAATATCGCGGCGCGATAGTAGTCAGACGTGCGGAATGTGTTCATACAGGATAACGCTGCGGTGTCACGATCGGGTTTATTTTCGTGCGGCTTACTTTTTTCTCCGATTAATTGGACGTGAGATTCATCGGCAAACGGCAAGGGTCTTTGCACTTGCATGTATAATGATGTATATGTAGTCTGTCCTCTGCTTTTTCATCGCAATCTCTGTTTGGTAGCGAGATCCTTATAGTGCGCTACGCGCAGGCTTGAGCGACTTCCTTCCTATTCACACTCAGACTCTGTGAAGACATGAGGCGCAAACAACGCAAACACGAAGTACCAACTAACTTCGATTTGATTCTTGACATAATGTGCACAGTATGAAAGGATAAATATGCATTACAGCGTAATACTGATCTCTTTCTTCGTTCTGTTCGCAGAATGTTCGGTAGCATGAAGCGGTGCGCGCGCTGTCAAGCGGCGATCCTGGCGTCCGAGTTAGTGATGCGCGCGCGCGAGCTCGTCTTCCACGTGCGCTGCTTCTCGTGCGCGGCGTGCGCAGTGCCCTTAACGAAGGGCGACCACTTCGGCATGCGAGATGGCGCCGTGCTCTGTCGGCTGCACTACGAGATGGGCGCCGAGTTGCATCCGGCCCAGAGCCCGCCGGTTCCGGTCTATCCGCCGCATTATCCTGGCCAACCACCCTTTCCCTCGCCCGAGTTCCTCCATCATCATCATCATCATCACGCGCCGCCGCATCCTCATCACTCCATGCACCCTCAGCATCCGCACAGTCACGTCAGCCCGGTACCCCTGCAGCCTTCGACACCCTCCGTACCCGATGCGTCTTCGCCCGCCAAGGTACCCTACTTCAATGGCGCCGCCACCGTTGTTCCGCCACCTAGGCAGAAGGGCAGACCCAGAAAGAGGAAGCCGAAGGATCTTGAAACCATGACCGCAAGTCTTGGTGAGTGAGAGTTTTAAGAATTGTTTTGCGGAGCTTCCCCTTCAGACTTAGCTGGGAGGGATCAACTCGGTATTACGATTGTTATTTCAAAGCGAGAAAATCGCGAGGCGACTCAGGAATGTGACAGGGATCGAACTGTTCCAGGGTCCCAAAATCATAGTCTGCGGTTCTCGCAAGTTTTTGAATTTTGTAATATCAAATTTGCCAATTCTCGATGTCGCATTTCCACGGTTTTAACAGTCTCGCGATTTAGCAGATTTATGACCGGAAACAGTGAAAAATCCACGGGTCCACAGATCGGGAGGCCAGATCCGTCCTCATTCTCGGAAAGCGACCTCTGATTGCACCTCGTGGGGAAAGCATGACTAGCCCGACGTGATTTACGGGCGTGCGTGGGCGCGCGACGTTTGCCACCGAAGCCTGATAAAATTTGTCGGTGCGACATAAATTTCCGAATCCAAACCCCAACAAAGCGCGTACGCGTCGCATTGTGCTCGCGTGGGCGAGTCGCCGGCAGCGTTGAGAACTTAATTTCCGATTGTTGACCAGTCGTGGGAACAACTGGTTCCAGCTGATTCAAGTCGCAGAACCACCGCTGCGGACCACAAAGCTTCCACTTGCCACGTCCTCTTTATTTCTTTTTCCTCTCCTCGCTGGAGGAGGTCGTTCGATGTCGCCGTGTCGCCGTGAAAAAGGATTGTAGCAGCGTGCAGGTGATCGTCCGGTACCACAAGCTGGTTTCTGATCTATCGTGAATCACGCCGGCAATTTTTCACGGTCATTACTAAGGGTCGCACCGATCCACGCTTTCGAGACCAAATATATAGCCGTGCATTTAGTAGTTGCACTTAAATTTCGGCCTTAGTTCGAAACAAAAGCGACATTGAGTGCGAACAAATGGCCCAGACAAATTGCTTGAACAGGAGCAAGTAGCCTTGTGTTAACGGATTTGTGTAGATACCTCCAACTTTCTTAAAATTTGCTTTCATAGAAAAACAAGTTAAAAGAATAACGGTTCAAAGTGCAAGTTCACCATGGCTTCATTACTTCAAATTATCAAACGCTCCCTGGATGTTCTATTTGTGCTCGTACGACCCGCATTTCTCCCTGAAAGGAAGGACACTCGCGCGAGCTTCAATAGAGTTGTCAACTAGGCCCAGTTTCGAGTATCACGAGCTTGTCGAAGCAACACGACGTACCGACGGAAGCGAGTTCCATCGTTGTTTGATGCGTATCACAGCTCATTAGCTCCTCGAGTGCAAAGAGGGTTGGAGATGGACGGCGATAGTATATGCGAAAAGCCGGTGGATACACGGTCAATTACAACTCTATGCAGCAAATAGTTTGCAGGCACGATACCTCATTCCAGCAGGCCAATCTATTACGCTTTCCCGTCTAGAACGATGATACCCCGCCCGTGTTGTTTATATAACTAGAGACGAATCAAAAACAAGATCGCAGATTTGAGTTGAATCGACCGCATGCGATCAAGTACAAATTACTCCGTATGCACATTCGCACTCTTGCTTGCAAAAGTCGGCATTACGATAAAAGTTCCAACTACAAAATTCCGGAAGCTATTGAGCGGATGAAGATTTGACGAGAGTGCCGTTTGGATTTATGGTTGCAGATCTAAACGCGGACTATATAGACATGTCTTTCGGCAGAGGAGGTCCTGGGACTCCAGGCATGCCTGGCTCTAACAGCAGAACAAAACGAATGAGGACGAGTTTCAAGCATCATCAGTTGAGGACGATGAAGAGCTATTTCGCGATCAATCACAATCCCGACGCCAAGGACCTCAAGCAACTTTCCCAGAAAACTGGCTTACCAAAAAGGGTGTTGCAGGTAAATAGACTGTCTATTCATGCGATTTGCGTTTTTCTTGTAACAGTAAAGCAAAGTCGAGTCCCGTTCGTTGTGGCTTAACTTTTATGATTCCCATATAATAAGCATAATTCATAAAATGCTTATTGATGCGTTAAGCGGCTTCCAAACTTTGGCAATCGGACACGCATAATCCCTTTATTGCCGACTAGACTCAATTTCATATCATTTACAAGCCAACATAAATAACGAAGAACAATTGCAACGAGTCGGGCGCAAAGGCGAGCCGTAAAAAGAAAATTCAAAGATGGATAGTCGATGGTTCTCGCGCTCGGTTTGCGTTTCTCTCGTTTTCGAAGGGTGCGCCCTATAAAAATATTCACGTGCGCGCGTACACGAGCCGCGTAGACACGCGTTCTCCTCCCAATTAGTGCGGCGTGTACGGCGCGGCTGCGAAGTTAAAAGAACCGCGCGGAACGGAGCGATATTTCCGTCGACGAACTGCAGCCTTTCTCCGTAATTACGAGCCTGCGTCAATCCGGAGACAGTCAAAATCCCAGCAGCCGGCTAAGTCTCGTCGTAACGTTGGACATGCGCCGGATCGCTCTCGTTAACCTACTACCGTTAAATTATTAGACTGTTATGAAAGTTTCGCGCGTTCCTTTGTGAAGTGTATCCTGGGAGCAGTGACGAAAGAGGAGAGCGATTGGGTGTAGGAGACGTTAGGGATTTAAAGGTTAAAGAAACGAAGTGAGATGAGGTAATATACAGTTTGAAAGTGAGGAACTCGGCGAGACCAAGTCCTTGTTCCGTGCCCCAAAAAGACTTGTACGGCCTCGAAGTTTTTAATATCCATAGTTCATTGCTCCAAGTTTGAAGTTTTGAAAGGGCGATGGTAAAGGTTAATATGCATTTCCACTAAATCTATAGGTCGTATTCTATTCAGCGTTGAATATTTTCGCCCAATTTTAAGATTTAAAGGTCACACGTAACTTCGCCTCAAGAATTAGATAACCATATTCAGCGCCGGGTATATAGTCGAAATATAAATCTATATCTTCGTGTAATCTACATCTAATTATACCTCACAAAGACCAAAAAGTCGGTATTACACCATCGAACGGCAAACACTCTTAGAAAAGATTAATGTGACATTTTTGTATTTTCTCCTAATTCCATCGACGCGCAATTGTATAAATGAGAACTTTTTCAACACATCGCAGCTGTCCATTGTCGACTAGTGGAATATCGAGGAATGTTATTGCTCAGATATCATCTCGCCATATTCCTCCCAGCCTCTCGTATAACATTTCATTCCGTTACACTGCTCCTGCTTCTGCGTTCATTCGTTGAGTCCGAAGGAGAGGGTTGGAGGTGGCCGCTATTGTATTCGTAGGGTTCTTGGTCGCCATCTTGTTTGATATTGATCGCGAAACGCACGAATACTCGCCGCGCGCGCACACATGCGCGCGCGCTCGCGAGCTCACGTACTTGAAGTAGAATACATACATAGCAGTCATCAGTTTGCGAGTTCTTTCACTGGAAATACGCGGAGGAGGAGACGGTCTTGAAAATGGCGACGTAGACTACACCGTCTTTCATTTATCGATAAGATGGGGGACATTTCTATATAAATGCACACGCGAGTGTGTCTGCGTACGCATACGAACAGGAGATAAGTACTGTTATCTAACTGTCATCTAATGTAAAGTTGCAATCGTACATGTGTAAGGTGTCTGGAAATTTCGTCGTACGTGGCACGCGTAGCGTAACTTTCTCGAATATCAAATAATAATGCGTTACTATTCTACAAGAGATAATTAAAAGTTCTATGGAGATTAGCCGTAGTAGCTACTTGTCAATCTTAGCCGAGTCCGTCTGTCCGTCACAAAGTTTGAGTGGACCCAGACGTAACGCCCAAACCTTTCGTTTATTTTGTTCTCAGGTTTGGTTCCAGAATGCGCGAGCAAAATGGCGGCGCATGGTGCTAAAGCAGGAGGGCAAGTCTGACAAGTGCGACGGCGGGGTGGACGGTGGTAACCTCGGTGACATAGAACTCTATGGGAACAGCACCGGAAGTGGCGGGCCGCCGATGAGCCCACCCTTTATGCTCGGTGGTCCTCACAGTCCCGCGTCCCTGACGTCTCTGGATTGTGCGTGATTCCCGGGGCCCAAGATCGTTCTTCCCGATTATCGTTATCCGCACCTCGTTGTCTTGCGATAGGACGATTCGTGTTTGGACGTTCATCCTTCCGGACAGTTTCTCACGTGAGTGATATACTTCCCGCGAGTGCGCGAAAATGGCAAATTGTGAATAATCGTTGAGCATGTAAAAACAGAAATAACGTTCCCGACGGTGTCGAGTAACTTAAACGGTAATAGGCGATTAGCGAGGATCGGACACGAAGCGAGATTAGTGATATCGATATCCGAATACCCGGGTACTCCAGTATCGCCACGAAGCCCGGGTATCACGGGTAGCCCTCGAGTATCCGGTTATTTTGCAAATTACCTGGGTACTGGAGTACTGTGATTAGTGTGTAGACAGTACCTTAGACACTAAAAGACTAAATCAGCTGACGCGGGATTAGCTGCTGCGGAAATCTGATGGATGGATGTTACTCGGTGTGTTACGCATGATTTCTCGTCCCGAGTATTCCGGATACTCGATTATTTCAGCTGGCATCAGAGTATCCCGCGAATTGGGGTATTGGCTAGGTACCCAGATATAAGAACCATCCTCGGTCCACCTTGGCAGCACTAATCGAGGTTCGAGGAATACGTTCTTTGAAAATGCTGAAAATTTGATTACTCCCTTCTAGTAGTAAATTGATGTAAATCTTAAGAATCTTTCAATGTCGCTTGCCAATTACGAAATTGGTTCCCTCTGAGATCTTGCTTCGGATCGAGTAGCTAATCAAAATATTGTAAAGTTGACACGAACACGCTGATGTGTGGGTTCGTTTAATCGACAAAATCGTTGTATTTATTCTAGCTCGAATCGCGGCTGCCTGTCGCGAACACAAAACATTAAAGTCGTTCGTTGAAGGCAATGTAATTAGTTGCGAGATCTATTTATTCGTCTAAGCCTAATTAAGGGACGCAAAGTTTACCGATACCGCGTGAAAATTCAACGTTTCGAAAGTTCCGAGAGTTTTGAAAGGAAAGAATCGTTAAACGCATCGACGTCGTTGAGCAAGAAACAAAAATACTTATTGAAATACAGAATGTACGTATGAGTCCATTTATTATTTATACATATAAATTATTGATAATTTAATGTTATTTGATATAACTTTCGCGCGCAGCGTGTTTTCCCTATTTTCGCTTCAAATTGGAAGCAGAACTACGATTCTCAGAGATTGATCGAACGCGTAAACGCGAACGTTGTATTTTCACGGGGATAATATTAATTATTTATAAAAGGAGTCGCGAATTGTGTATATTATTGCTCAAGATCAGGCCGCGACGGAAGTGACACACACGGTTCGGCCTTGTTATTGTAAATAAAGGACGTTCCTCGTACGTTTCTTAAGGCACCGCTATAGGTTGTAGGGCTCTATTAATTGCATTCGGTAGCGGTCGTGCTTCTCTAGGCGAGAGGTAATAATAGTAATGACGATACGCAGGACTATTGATATTATTGCTCCTACTATCAGTCCTCCTTGTAACGATGCGGAACGATTGTCCAACTTTTGCAAGATCATTTTTTCATTGAATATATTTTGACAATATACATTGCGTGTCTGTGTATCTCCTTACTTTTCATCCTCTTCATCCTCAGTATTTTAAGTTGAAAATTAAAAGGTAGGTATAATTGGCTACGTTTCGATTATCTAAACATTTTTAGACTTAGGAAGAAGTGTCAATATTAACTCTTTATAATGTTCAATATTTATATCAAAATTTAAGAAAGCCGTTTTGATGAGAAATTACTATCATTTTGCTTCATTTGTCTGTAAAACATTTATTTTACTTCGTTTAATATTTTTGTAGTGCGTATAACATGAATTGTGATGGTTGCATATTACTTTAATTCGTAGAACTAACTTTCGACAACAGAATTCACGAGCGAGACTTTCCACGGAGGAGACCCGATGGAAAGTCGCGTGATGGCGTGCAAATCATAACGGTGAACCAGAATTTCACCTGACAAAAACCGGCACAACATTGTCAGCCTTGTCCCGCCAGTTAACTGGATTCGTTGAGCAGCGATAATGGAGAAGTATTTCACTGTGTTCCGTCTGTAATTGTGTAAGAAATTGTAAGAAATTTAATATATCATGGAGCGCGGTACTGCGTTTTTAATTTTAAAAAGGAGTGCTTATTGGTGAATCACAATACCATATTTTTAGACTTTTGTTCATCTTGTTTAGAGTATTTACACGTTTCTTGCGAATATCGCAATATACTGGTGACTTAACGGTTCGATTATGCAGAGCTATGAAAACGCGATGCGTCTCGCAGCTATTAAGGTTGAAATTATATTCAGCGCACCAGACCGAATTACGTAAAAACTGAATAGCAATTCTGCGTAAAATCACGCATATCACAGAAGCGATGTTCTATGGCCAACTATTTTTCTTTATCGGTTCTCGCATAAATATTCATTACAAGACATCATAAACATCCTATTTACTGATTCATTATGTCATTATTGATCTACATCTTCTTGCAAAAAGATTCTGATGTGAAAAATACGAATCGACAAGCTCGGGAAAGAGATTATTTAGTATCGAGATTATAATATAAACAAGTCTCAATTGCTTTCGTGATCATTTGTGTCATCGTTTTTAAAAATCCTAGTAAAAATATGTGATGAGAATAATAAGATAAAAAAAAATTGAAAAATAGAGATATATTTGATATTAATTTTACGCATGTAATTTTTGCATGTAATAATTATAATTTCTTATATATTTCTGTTACATAAGTTAGAGAATCAAGAATAGGAAGTATGGATTTGTTAATACGCGTGATATATTTATTTGTTTCACGTTGGGCATTATTTTTTTTTTAACGAGTCACCGTTTTATTTTTTACTCGTCAAGCTTCGAAAAATCTACGCTGTAAATGCTGCTTCACGTACACGTCGCCTTGTTCTGATTTCTACCGGAGTTCTGCGTTCACACAGGATTGCAACGCGAGCGGATATTTCTTTCCTTCGGCCATGCAATATGCATCGAACTGCATTCAGGACGCATAGCGAGCGCGCCGATGCGATTTCAGCTCGCGATTATTCGTTAAGTTTCTAAGCCGAAAAAGGATGACGAGAGACAAGAGGAACGGCAGTATGGCGTCATCCATCGACGGAGAAAGACGGATACCTTTCAACGAGTTCAGGTTTTATTTTTGTTTTTTTTTTCAGAAACCGAACGCCCTGATGTATTTTTGTTTCGTGTTGGCAGAATTAGTATGCGCGAACCTTCAACATTGTTGTTTTTCGATTACTTATCAATTAGCAGGTATCGCCTCACCGATTAATTATAGCTTGCTAAATCGATCTTCTTCTTCTTCTTCGATTAATCTTTTTCGTCCTTTTCAAACAAATTGATTTAAAAGAGATAGACGCACAATGTGTCTACAGTTGTGTCGGAGGAACTTTCATTTTTTACACAAATGTTTTCCGAAAAGAATCCCCGAGGGCGTTCTCGATGACGTCCGCTCCAACGCGATTCCCGCCTATTGCATTCGACGAAGTAAATGAGACGTCGATGTTCGACACCGTCGAACTTCGACTGTCATCGACGATTTTCTGTTCGTGTAGTACGGCATCGATCATCCGTGTTATCGGTATCTCGATCCTGGAACCGGTCAGAGGACAGTGGGTAAAAGAGGCTTGACATCAGCCATGGGTATCTAGGAATCTTTCGGTCGTCTCCGTCACGCCCCATCGACTTTGAAAATGAACGATCTTCGAATATGACTGGAACGAACGCGAGTGTGTCCCTCATTGATTCGATAGGAGGTCGAAAATAATCCTCTAGTCCGGTGTGTTACGGACTCGTCCCGTGAAATTGATATTCGGATAAATAGTCGCGGAGATCTCTCAGGCTCGACATCGGCGCGCATTCATCTGCTTGGCGTGGAAATTTTTAGGGCGATACTTATTGAGATAGATTACACAAATAGTCACACATATATGTTCAATAAATAAAAGTAATCGGTCTCATACATGCGCGCACGCACGAGTATGTTAATAAAAATAAAACACAGGCAAAACTTGAAAGAGAAACCCGCAATGATCGAAATTGAGAGAGAATTCAAGGTTTCCAGATACATAAGATATAAATTGTGGAGATTTGTATGTCAGGTATATAAAAAAGCAGGAAATCGCGAACGATCGATTTCGGCACATCAAAGAATCTATCCAGACGGACGCACGACGATCAAGAATACGCAAATAATCGCGAATTAATTAAGGCGCTATTTAAAGCGAGTGATTCCGTTTGCTGATGCCGACAGTACGTCGACATAAGACGCGTGTTTAGTTAATTAATGGTCGCGAGCGCGCGGTGGGAGTTGTACAAGATAGCTATGACGAATCGAAGATAACGCGTTGCCCCAAGGATCGCTATTTTATTTTATTTTGCTGATCCGCTACTTTGACTGCAGACTTCGATTGCAGACGTCGACGTCGGTTTTCATGTTTTTAAAAGCATCATTTTCTCGATGCAAATCGACAACGGTACTTGGTACTTTACATACAAAATACACGTGTCAGAATACGTTGCAACTCACATACATTGCATTTGAAATGAGTATGAAATGTGCAGTAGTGAAGTAAGTGGTCAAGGCAATTTTCATCAGATCCGTTCTGCGTTGCGTTTACAATTACGTCTAATTTGTTATATCTTCCCTTTTCCATCTTCAGTCACTTCGACTTCCTTATCACGATAAGCGATCCTGCGCGGCCCACTCTTTCTGCAACCGAGAAAGTGTAAAAAGAGTGTCGTTAATAACTCCCGGCAGCGAGCTACGCGACATTATTTCCTGGTGCTAGTCGCTCATTAAACTCCGCTTCCTGATTTTTTAATGCCCCGTTCTTTCGCTACGCGCGGATGCACCTCTCCTGGCTTCACTTTCAGCCAGACTCGTCTCGTCTCGTCTCGTCTCGTCTCGTCTCGTCTCGTCTCGTCTTGGTTCGTCTAGTTTTCAAGTTCTTCCCTCTGCAACCCATCCGCGAAGCATTCGCACGACCACCCTTTCGCTAACCCCCTTTTTAGCGCCCCTACGCTCGGATACCACTCCACAAGAGACCCCCAAGCACCGACGTGATGCATTTGTGCGCAAGCGAATTCTTGGGAAGGAGAGACTCCTTCACAGGGTAGTGCGCAGGAAATAAATCCCCATCAAAAATCAGTGATGTAGGAAACGGTTGTCACTCGAGTGGCACAGGTTGTCCAGGATATGACTGAGTAATCAGATAAACACCTTAAGGAATCTTTAAGCTTTAGAAAACTATATACTTTCGATAAAGTAGAGAGCGTCCGTTACATAAAGTACACATGCTAAAAGCCTCTTCCGTTCACATTCGCTGGAGTATTACCATTTCATTTATAATCAGGCTGAAAACGTAATAAAATAATCTAAATTAAACCTAAACTTAAATTTAAACTTAATATCATGAAGGAATGAAAGTAAGCATTGAGAAGATAATGAATTTATAATTAACAATATCTTATACACACGCACTGGTGTAGCTATGCCTAATTAGTATTGAAGCTACGCGTTGATCAATAACGGAAGTCAAACTTCTTTCGGCGTTTTCCGAGTACAGAGATTATTTTGGAAAAAAACTGAATTTTTCTATAAATCCTAAGCGGATATAATATACTGGATAATTAAACCGGTCAGGTCGTAATTTGTGTTAAATAACGATCAATTGTGCAAAAGTCGTATTGGATCACCTTTCTAAAGGCGTCAGGATTCTGTTCGTGTGGTCTTTTACTAGCGATTTTTTTTCTTCCTCTTTTTCTCTCCCTCTTCCTCTCTCTCTCTCTCTCTCTGAGAAAGAGAATACTATGCACGCGTTTGTGGGGTATTTGCGGATTCCGTTTTTCTCTGCCACCCACTGGGTGCCGTTGACGTCACGCCCGGATACCATTCGACAAGGAGCTCCGCTCTTCTGGGCCAATAATTCAGACTTCAAGGCGCGGTCGCGAAGATCGCCGTGACGGAATATCAAAAGCCACGTGCTCACCCTTCGCTCGTTCCCTCATCCTTCGTCCCTTAGCTCCAGTCAAAGCGGAGCACAGCGAAGCGAAAGAGTCGGAAAAGTAAAGAGAAGCATGGGGACAAGAGAGAGAGAGAGAGAGAGAGAGAGAGAGAGAGAGAGAGAGAGAGAGAGAGAGAGAGAGAGAGAGAGAGAGAGAGAGAGAGAGAGAGAGAGAGAGAGAGAGAGAGAGAGAGAGAGAGAAGGAGAAATGCTATTTATTCATACACTGCAGCTCAGCACATATTCCCCTAAATACGTGGGATAAACTTGAATAGGGCGTATCATAAAAGGTGTACGTCCATAGCAGGATTCTAAAGATTTAAAACTAACGAAGCGTAGAAGTTTCGATAAATCCACAGTTCCTAATGTTATATACAGGCGTTGTTTAAAAATCTGCGACTCAGATACACGTGGCAGGAAAAGATTAAGAAGTTTAATGTTCCAAACATTATTTAATTCTTAAATCTCAATAGGTATTTAGGCATAATTCGAAGTTTCAAGGGTCTAAATCCCAAAAGGTTTCATACCTTA